AGAGAGAGAGAGAGAGAGAGAGAGAGAGAGAGAGAGAGACACATATCCGAGGGCTACATTTATACTATTAGACTTTTTCAGAAGGTGGGTGGACTGTCATATCATTTCTGCTTTCTGGCCTAGAGAACAAGCTAATTAGTCCATCTACTGCTAAGATTTCAAGTGCCATCAACATCACCGTCTAGTCCTTTTCATAGGAGACCAGGCTCCTTCCTCTCCCCTCTTTTAAGGGCCCTGCTTATTTACAAGGCTGCTCTATGTACTTAGCAAACACATAATGCTAAGCCATTACTGCTTTATTCGTTTGCATTTGCTGAGGGTTACTTAACTTTATGAGTGAGGCGATTTTTTTTTTTTTGGATTCATTAGCCCTCTCAGAACTCTGTGTTCCTGCTGGTTAATTTATTGAGGACCATCTGATCTTAGGCACTTGGGTGTTTATCTGTCAGTAGATTTACAGGGGATACTCTGGACATGCAGCATCACCAGAAATACGAGAGGCAACCTCAGAACCACTGTAGAACCTCCAAGGAGACTCCAAACTCCCTTTACAGGAACCTAGTAATATGGCCCCCCAGTATAAAGATAAAAATCTAATTCATATTAAAGCATATGAAGCAATTCCATCCTCAAGGTATTCTAGGTTTTCCTTTCCCACTTTGAGTAGCCAATGAGCTCTGAGCATATGGTTCGATGCAAAAACACAAAGCTAAACTAGCACTTAAAAATCTCAGTTTTCCCCCCTTCCTTCAAGTTAAGGCCAAGAGAAATAAAGACAACTGGCCTCGATCAATGTTTGTGTCTGAAGGGTAGTATAATACATAAAGCAACTAATGAATACAAAGACAGTATAGTACTGTGTGCCCATGGGTTACAACTTACCCATTTGTTGAGGTAAGAGAGATCATTTCTAAGGATTTGTCTTTCTATGTATGCATGTGTATCTCGTGTGTGTGTGTGTGTGTGTGTGTGTGTGTGTGTGTGTGTGTGTGAGAGAGAGAGAGAGAGAGAGAGAGAGAGAGAGAAAGAGAAAGATTGTGTTCTTGCTTGTTCTCTGTCTTCTTCTGCCTCCTCATGCCGGTGGCATATGCCACTGTGCCTGAAGTGTTAAAACTATCTGTTTGTTTAATGTGTATGTGTGAGTGCTTGCATGCATGTATGTGTACTGAGTATATACATGCCTAGTACCCAAAGAGGCAAGGGAGGGCATGAGCCCCCTGCAACTGGAGTTATAGGTGTTTATGAGCCACTAGCTATGGGTGCTGGAACTGAACCCCAGTCGTCTGCAAGAACAGTGAGTGCTTTAACCACTGAGCAGCTCCCCAGCTCCCTCCACACCAGAGAGTCTCAACCTTCCTCATGCTGTGACCCTTCAGTACCGCTCCTCATGTTGTGGTGACCTCCATCTATGACAATATTTCTTTGTAACTTCATAACTAATTGTTACTGTTATGAATTATAATGTAAATATCTGATATATGACCTCTGTGGGGTCAAGACCCACAGGTTGAGAACTGATGCTCTAGAGGTTTTGGACTTAGAAATCTGTAGACTTGTGGGCAGCTCTTTTCCAATTAAAAGCATCCTTGGTTAAGGAGATATGGATTCTTTGAGAACTGTGAAAGCATGAGATCAAGGTCACCACTTCCCCTCAAAGCTGTTAGATGTCACTCTTTGGTATGAGGCAAATTAACTTTGGGTCTCCCTTGGTCAAGCACACAAGAACTTCCCGCTTCTCCTTCCTCTTTAAAGCCCATCCCAAGCCCTTTTCAGATAGCCCTGAACAGGCTTCCTTTGCACAACTCCCCTCTCTCACCCACTGAGCATTCATTTTGGTCTCGTGTATTTCAGGCTGTCTTTGAACTTGCTACATAGCTAGTGATGACTTTAAAGTTCTTATTCCCCTGCCTCCAGCTCTAAAATGCAGATATTACAGGTGTGAGCCACCGCACCCACTCTGCTGTGCTGGAGACAGAACCCAGGGGTTCTGCATGCTAGACAAGCATTCTACCAATGAAGCTCCATCTCCAGCCCCACTCAGCCATCATTTACCTTGATGGTGCAGCTGTGCTCTCAACGTTTCCAGATCACATATAGAGTTGCTAGAAAAATGGGAAACACGGCTAAACTCCCCCAGTACAGCAGCTAGTACCATAGGCTGTGTGTGGACAGGCTCAACTTCGGTCTACTCCCTCTGGGATCTTAGATTCCTGTGGGATCACGGGCCTGAGGGAGTCATCTGGATGAGGTCACACGTGGAGCCACTGACAGGACTCTCCACTCTCTTTTGTTTGTGGTCTCATTTAAGGGCTGACAGAACCATCCCATGTGGGTGGTTCAAGGTCTCTTCTGTTCTCCTCAGCTTCAGCATAGTCACATGGCTAGATGGCGACGAGTGTGGAGGACAATGTGCACTTCTTCTATATTGGCTGACCTGGGCACTGTCATGTGACACCATTCCCTGGGGCATGAGGTAGAATGTGTTCAAGAGTGTCCTCTAGTGCGTGTGTGTACCTGCTTTCATGGATGTTCATATATGTGTGTGCATGTAGGTATATGCATATATGTGTATTCTTGCATATGGCAGCCAGAGATCAACCTTAGATTATTCCTCAAGGGCCATCCCTTGTGTTCTTTGAAGCAGGGTCTCCTCCTAGCCTGAAACAAGCCAGGAGAGCTAGGTTGGGTAGCCAGCAAGCACCAGAATCCCCCTGTCTCCTTCCTCACAGGTCTAGGATTACAAGGGAGTGCTACCATACCTAGATTTTATTTTATTTTAGGTGTCCTAGGGACTGAACTCAGGTCCTCCTGCTTGTGTAGAACCATGTTCCCTATTGAAGCCATTTCCACAGCTCCAACTTTTAAAGCTTTTATGCAACAAGAGAGTCACTAACATATAGAGTAAGAGAAAATATTTGCAAATCATGTCTGCTAGACAGTTAATACCCTAAATACCTAGGGAGCATCTATCACTCCAGAGCAGAACACCTTCAACAAACCCCATTTAAAAATAGGCAAAGGATCTAGGTAGATACTTCATAAAGACTGTCACAGATCAAATGTGGGGGGACGGAGGGAAGAGGTACATGTGATGTACTATTTGGGGTACAAGGTCAGAAAAGTAACCCAGAGGGGGGAAAATCAACAGAGTTGAAAAATGAATGTTCTAGAGACAGGCGCTGCTGTGTGACACTAGGATTTTCCAACGCTGTGATTCCCCAGCCAAGGCCCTGAGGGATCCTGCTTTAATGTCCCCATGCATGAGCAGCCAGGAGAGTCACTAAGTGCCCAGAAATAACAAGGAAGCCAATCTCATGGTTTCCTGCACACACCTGTGTCTGCCCAGACACAGAAACCTCCCTGCCTTTGCCACACTCATCACCCACACTGAGCTGTAAATGACTTCTGCTTATCGCCCCACATGAACCCCAGCCATGCTCGACGGTGACTCATCACTCACTGCAGGCTTCAAGAGCAACTGCAAAAGCAAATGCAACAAGGCTCCCATGAAAGGCTCTGGCAGTGAGGGACAGCCTGTTAGCATGGCGGCTGAGGGTGGGCTAAAGACCCAGGCACCACCTCCCTTTCTCTCTCTTTCCCTCCATCCCTCCACACTCCCCTCTGTGTGTGTGTGTGTGTGTGTGTGTGTGTGTGTGTGTGTGTGTCTACAGAGGCTAGGTCAACTTTGGGTGTTGTTCAGGCACATCTACCTTGTGTTTTTGTGATAAGGTTGCTCATCAGCTTGGAAATCACCAAGAAAACTAGACTGGCCGGCCAGTGAATCCCATGGACCCACCTGTCTCTGCCACCTCAGCTCTAGGATTTTAAGAGGATGTTACCATGCCTAGCTTTTTAAAACAGAGTTCTAGAGACCTAATGTGTATGGCAAGTCCTTTATTATTGGCTAAGCCATGTCTCCAGCTCTGAGGCTGATATTCTTTGGGTACTCACTGTGAGTGCCACAGTTTCCGCTTCACCACGTTCAGTGGACAGGCAGGCAAACATTCCCCGTGGCCTCCTCATTCCAGCTGTCAGCTGGGATTAGACCAGGATGCCCAGAGTCATTAGAAACAGAGTTAGGATGAGAGCTGGAGGCTTAGCTCAGAGGACAGGAGCTTGCTGTGTGCATGAGAGCCTCCATGGGACTCCTTAGCACACACTGAAGATGCAAGGTGGGAATGACCCAGGGCAAGCTAGGGAGCTGGAATAGTCAAACCAGTGAGCTCCTAGTTTAGGGAAAGACTCTGGCTTAGTGAATAAAGTGGAAAGTGAGGGAGGAAGACCTCACACTTGCTTCAACCTCTGCCCTCCACATGCATATCTGCATACCTTCATGTGTGCATGCATGTACAAACATGCTGCCTATACACAATCACAAACACAAAAGCATAAGCGATACTCACCTCTCTCAGTGTTGGCTTGCCAATGAAGAAGTCTGTGTTTTTGCTGCTTTTGGGAGGGTTGAACTTAGGGTTTAGGAAAGCACATCCATTCGCGATGGCCTCCAGGGGAGCTGGACCTTCATAAGGAAATCCAAGCCCAACGAACAGCTGTTAAGACAGGAAAAGACAGCACATGAAGTTATCAGTCACAACTGCCTCTCAGCTCCAGTGGCCTGTTTTTGATGTTCTGCAGAGGGCTTAGATATCCAGGTTGGTGACTTGCAACAAAGTGAAGGGGCGTATACCAGGATATGCAGAATAACATGTGTGAGGGCTGGGGAGAAACTTGCCTTGTTCCCATCGCTTTTTCTGATATGGAAAAAAAAATGTTAGGTGCTGAGGGGCAGAGAGGGTGAGATTGTAAAACAAAACCAACAATAAAACCCAGGACCCAACAATCGTCTTTCTATCACTCAGCAGGTGACATAACTGGAAAAACACTTGCTTAACTAAACAGAAGGTTTCTTCACTCAAGCAGGGAACAACAGGCTCTTTCAGGGACTCTGGGGGCCAGGGACAGAAAGGTCACTTGGTGGTTTGATTACAGTTCAAATGAAACTGCTTTCCAACTTGGGAGGTCAGTAAAACACAGGTTTTATGATAGCATTCTCACTGGGGATACCACTAGCTGCCTGGTTTTGTTTTTTCCTCTGTGGGAGCAGAGGTTTCAAAGTCTGCAATTTTCCAGCTTTCCTCTCCAGCTAGCAAATCCTCAAGTTTCCCTAAATGGACGATAGATGGCAGCAGAAACAAACTAAAGGTTCTTAGAAAGACTGCATCAGCCTGAAGCTGCGGGGACAAAGGGATACTCCAGTGAGGGTCTGTAGGGTGCAAAAACACAGGTCTGTGTGTACCAGGTTTGGGGGACACTGTGCTGTAAGTGGTGGTCACCAGGCGGGTCTAATCTTGGTGCTCTCTGCCCTCAGGCAGAAGCCAAGTCTGAACCGGAACACGCCAAGCGACAAGGAGACATGGGTGTTGTGTGCCTGGTTGGGGGGTAGAGGGGGGTAGGGTGGAGGATGATGGGGTTCCTTGTGCCCTCAAGTTCAGAAACACCCAGGCCATTTCCACCAAGAAATTTAATCATTCAGACTGGAATGAAGACATTTTAGAGATAAAGAGACATTAGCGCTCCTCCCTTGGGTGATCATACAGAAACAATGAACCCATGGAACTGGGATTTCTCCTGAGTCTCACACTGGAAGAAGGGAGCCTGGTGCTGGCCTGGTGGGAGGGGGAGGGGGTACACGACCCATGGGACAACTTGTCTCCCAGGAAGAGATTTCACGAGTTCTGACAACTTGTTAGGAGAGATTGGAGCTGAGGCCCCATGGGTCAGTGATGATCTTGTACATTCCCTGACCAGGACTTCTTAGTTGTGAGTACCTCTTCTCCTCTTAAACCCAAGTGCTGTGTCAGAACTCCAAAGATGGACCTGGGAGGCATGAGACCGCTTTCTTTGTTTCTCTCCCCAATGTGGTCACAATGGGAACTCTCTTAGCTCTTCACTATCACTGACCTCTTTAATTGACCCATTGAGGAAAGACAGCTGAACCTACCTATCATGTTAGGGCTGCCAGGGCCCAGATCTGACCCTGACAGCTGGGAACACAGGACTGCATCAGGCACCCCAACTCTTCCCAACTCTAAGAAGAGCATGCTGGCCGATATAGACAGGGTCTTGGCAAGTTTAAGGAAAGCTGCTGGAGCCCAGAGTACTTCTTGACCTCTGAACATCGGGTCTGCTAAGGAGTGCTGATAGCCTCTCCTCAACTCTACACTGTCATAAACACCCCTGGAAGAGATGGAAGCAGCACATGGTTATCTGTTTAAACAGAGAATCCTGGTGGGGGGTGATTATCTCCTTTAGTTCAACCAAGCTGAATCTACTAATTATACAGTGAGAAGGCTATTGCTTAATGAACCCAAATGTGACCTAAGCTTGATTATATCTGAATAATAATTTGCACCCACCCCTAGGTCCTCCTGGCACAGATCATCTCAGTACACATAAACACTTTAGGGGAATGGGGAGATGGCTCAGTGGGCAAATAAATGCTTGCTGTGCAAGCATCAGAAACCTGAACTCAGATTCCCAGAGCTCCCAGAGCGGGATGCAGGAGCACATATCTGTAATCCCAGGCTCCTACAGGGAGGTGGGAGAATCCTTAGGAGCATGAAGGCCAGCTGGTTGGGCATATGCAATGGTGAACAGTGGAGACCATGTTTCAAACAAGAAGAGAGGAGAATGAACACCTGACATTTTTGTCTGATGTCCACATGCATAGTGTGGCATTCATGTAGCTGCGCTCATATATGTGAACACACACACAGTAATAAACACTTTATACCAACTCCCTAAGTCTCAGTCACCATCTTCCAAGGCCTCTTAAGCAAATGCCCCACCATTTCTTCGCAGTGAGTTTTCTTGTCACACTAGTTAAGGTAACACACACTGGTGCATGCCCTTGAAACACTGAAGTAACAGTTTTCTGTTAGCTCTCAGTAAGCAATTCCCCACTTGGTTCCTGAGTACTCATTACCTGTGACATCACAGAGGAGCACATGGATGAAGGTTGCATAGCATATCTATGAGCTGAATGACCATAGTCTAGGTAGAGAGAACTCGGCATCTCCAATCAAAAGCTTCTGCCCACTTACAGTCTTGCCACACACCTCACCCACGCCACTTTGCCATGTCTCTTGATCCATCACTGTGCCTACTTATAGCTCTCCTCCTCCCTCCCTTCCCCCAACATCCATCTCTCATCTCCTTTCTTTCTGAGGCTCCCACATTTATCTCCACTACATCCCTATACATTTCTTTACCAAAGAAGGGAGAAACGCAAGACAAGACAGCACCCAGGACTGGGGAGAGCGCCTGGTGGGTAAAGAGTACTTGGACCTAAGTTTGAATCCTCAGCACTCAGGTAAAAATCTGGGTGTGGTCACATGCTCCTGTAACTCCAGGACTGTGTGGGGTGGGAACTGGACGATGCTGGGGCTTGCTGGTCTCCAGCTGAGCTCCAGGTTCAATTAGAGACTCTGTCTCAAGGGAATAAGGCAGAGCATTGTAAAGCAGGTCCTCTTCTAGCCTTGGCACAAATTCACACGGGTATACACACCTACATATGTGTGTATGCACAAAAACTGGAGAAAAGGAACCATTCAAGTGCTAAGGTTCAATAATTCCCTGGAAAACCAGCCATACTGTACGGGCTTAAGTCTGCTCTTCCGAAGGCCAGAGTCTGACTAGGATATTCTAGGTGTTGTCCATCTCCATGGCCACAACTCTGATTCCACCAATGAGCTTTCTAAATAGAAGGATCACATGCTCCAAAATTAAAATTATGACAAGGAAGATCAGACAAAAGAGTACATGTTTTATTCATGGCAAGGATTGGGGCACCCTGACACTGTCACTGTGATATTTTTTCTCTGTTTTGAAAGGAAAAAGAATTGTTTTAACTCTTAGTGTGTCAATGAAGATTCTTTTAACCATTCCTGGGCTTGTTCAGTTTCATTCACGTCTAGTATGCATGTGTGTGGTTATGTGCACATGTGTGTGCAGAAGCCAGAGGTCAACCTTGGGTGTCTCCCTCAGTTGTTCTCCATTGTTTTCTGTGACAAGGTCTCTGTACTTTGGCTAGGCTGGTTGGCCAGTGAGCCCCAGGGACCCACTGACCTCCATGTCTCCAGTGCTGGGATTAGAAGCGAGTACCACTCACTACATCCAATGTTTTAGATATGGCTTTTGGGGATGAAACACAGGTCTTCCTGCTTAGGGGGCAAGCACTTTACCAATAGTTATCTCAGCCTCAGGCATTTGAACTAAATACTTTATTATGTAATGGTATTTAAACCCAGAGACTCATATACAGGGGAAGTACTATATCACACACCTGTATTTATACCTATGGATGCAAAAACATACACATACATATATAAGAACTGGGTGAAAGAAACTATTCAAATACTAAAGCCAAACTCTTTCAGGGAAAACCGGCCATACTGCATGGGCTTAAATTTGGTCTTTAGAAGGCCGGAGTCTGACAAGGAAATCACATCCCAGCTCAGCTCTGGCCACTTTTAATGGGGGAAATGCCAAGAATAATGAAATATTGGACCCACATAAACTCAGCATGTACTTTTCTGATAATTATTAATTAGGAGGATCAGGAGGGAATTTGAATTAACCTCAGTTTGTACCCTGAAATTGATTACTGGTCAAAGGCTTGGGCAATGAGATGATTACGCAGTCATGATTTCCTCATTCAGTAACCATGGCAATTACCTCCGTGTACGAATTCTTGAGGCTCATTTATAGTCTAGAATCTTAGCTAAAGTAACACAAGTACTGTCTTCTTAGGGGCAAAATGGGGCCAACATGGATACTTTTGTCATGGAACTGTTTTGAGGACTGAAGGAGATAGTTTGTAGAAGTGTTCAATAGTCTCAGGGTTGATGCTAGTAATCATTTGGGAAATAGTTTCCCAAGTTCGAATTCAGTTGTAATTTCAGTCAGCTAAACACTGTGTATGCCCTTCTACCAGATAGATGGAGGTGAGGTGTATGTAGGCTGTTTGTTAAAAGTGACAACTTTAGCCCTTTCATATGTTTTCACCCTCCCTCCCTCCCTCCCTCCCTCCCTCCCTTCCTCCCTCCTTCTCACAGAGATCTGCCTCCTGCTGCCTCCTGAGTGCTAGAATTAAAGACATGTGCCATCATGCCAACCAGTTCTCACTATTTCATACACTACAAAACTGCCAGAAGAGAGAGGTAAGGCAGTGTGCAGTTGCTTCCAGATGGAAAGGCCAGTCCTAAAACTGGATGCTATTGATAAGCCTCCTCTTTGCTCTTGATACAGGAAAGCAGTATCTACTTCTAGGAATAGGTATTCCCTTCATATCTTTAAAAAAGAATTTCTCCAATGGTTGGGCATGATGGTCAGTTTTAATTGCCACCTTGATACAACCTAGAATCACCTGGGAAGAGAGGGGTCTCAATGGGTGAGTGTCTAACAGACTGTGGGAATATCTGAGGAGACTATCTTGATTGCCTTAACTGATGTGGGAAGATCTAGCCTAAAAGAGGACAGCATCATTTCC